GCTTGTTTAGATCAAATCATAATATATGTACATAATGATATGGCTCTAGAAAGAAAAATTCAAGAACTAGCTAGGATTCATAAAGTCCATAGATTCTTCTTCCATTCTTTGTACACATCGATGTAGGAATTCAACCATTAATTATTTCAACCTGCAAAGAAAATATAAGTTGTAACATTACAAATTAGGCCACGTAGGTACATTGATGTAAAATTAAGAAAGCTAGTTTGAACATACAAACATCGAAGGCCAATCAATTGGGACTCCTTTGGCTCGAACATCACCAATATTATTGCACCTGTGCATGGGCCCCACTAATGGCTCATCTTTTGCTATAGGATGATTGATCGCACTTTGTAGAATTGACTTCCTATCTTAACTTCACCAACAAAGTGGCTTTTGGATCAGAGAGTTGCATATGCCACATTAGTCTTATTATGATATTTTGAAGTCACTAGAAGCACCATGGACCCAACCTACATTAATTTGACATAATCTCTTAGTGACCAACAAATCTTAGTTGTACACTATGATCATGCAATTGGAACAAGTGATATTGTGTTCGCTCTACCTTCATTAGAGAAAGTTGTTTATGTGTTTGACGCTTGTAGCATGTAGCCTTGTCATGAGCCACCTTCCGTGTGCAATGATTGTAGTCTCTCCAGCCCTCCGTGATGACCCTAACACATTCAAAATGAAGTATGAAATAATAAGAAAAAAATTATACTATAATTATAGCAAAGTGTGATTCATAGATACATTTTGTTTCTTTGTTATTCTACTTGTGGTGGATAAAAGTAGACTCTCATCATCACTAAATTCAGACTCACATGTTTCTTTATTCTAGTAAATAGAAAGAAAAAGACAGTAGCATGAGTTAGTAAAAAAATCTTTGTGGATAAAATAAGTATTAAATTCACAAACAAGTGACTTTGTCAATTCATCCTTGTGTTTAAGGAATCCATCATTCTAGTTGGGTGCAACACATTGAACTATGTAAAAATTTGAAACAATATTAAAGCCAAAAGACTAGATTAGGTGAAAACATGAAAAATAGAGCAAATAACTTTCTTTTAGAATGCACCGCTTGATTCTAAGAATTATTATGATCACTCCTAGCACAATTTCCCTAGAAAAAAAATATAAAGTTTGAGTAACACATTTCAATATAGAGTTATAAATTAAAATGTACATTATTACCATTGTTGCTTCTTGGTTCTCATGGTGTCTTTGATTGTTTTTTAGTTCTGCAACAAGTTTGTCATGCATTCTAGAATGCGCTTTGAGTTGCCTTATTTCCTCCAACATGTGAGTCTGTATATCAGATGATGAGCCATCTATTGAAACTATATTAATATCCTTAAAATAGTGTGTTGTTAGACCATAAACTTGTTTAGAAAGCGGAAGCAATCCCATCTTTGTGCACATGTCTAGGTTTCTCTTCTCACAACACCTGATGTAATGCATCACCTTCTCATGCAACTCCTCACTCACTATTTTGTGCTAACTTTGGTTGTGTGTCTAGTAGACTTTCCATTGAACCTACACAAGCAAGAAATCCACACATTAGAAAACAAAAATAAATTTATATTTGCAAAATTCCCATGTGCATGTAGCATACCTTTGGTTCATTTACCCTTTTTCCCCTTTTCCTGTGAATAGTTAAGTTGTACTTGAATAATCAGATATACATATAGAAGAGTTGATATACATATAGAAGAGTAAATTATATGTTTATTTTGATACCTTTAGTTTTATTTGGTTTAGATTTGGATGGTTCTTTGTTGGACTTGGTAGGCGCTAAAGTGGTCAGTCTCTACTTCGTCACAAACAAGCTAACCATCTTTTTGCTCTCACACTCGTTAAGCATTTCCATCACTTCAAAATCTTGTTCTATTACAACCAAGTTATCTTTTCTCCTGTAGTATAGATAGTCGACTGATGTGTAACCATAATCCTTGATCAAATCAGTTGAAGTAGCATATCTCGTCTCTATCCATTTCCATTTGCACATGTTTCTGTCCTTAAGCTACTATACCCCATCGCATTCAACATTTATGGTCCAAATATCCACCACCATGGTAGCACAATCTAAATAAAATTTAGAACCAATAGAAAAATAAGAATAAAGCATAGGATAATTCTCAAATAAGAATCAAGTACAACAAAATAATAACAATTAGACTAAAGTGCATATTTGTAATGTTATTTGAACTTGGAGCTTGAGAACAAGTAAAGTGCTATGGTTCAAATAGGGCGTGCCTCACCGCCTTTGTGTTCTCTAGTCTGAGCAATCAAACAATAAGTATCTCGCTGAAACATTTGCACTAAGCCATATGCACACAGACCAAGTTACAGTCTCACATATATACTAATCCATACTCCAGCTAGGTATACAGGAATAAAGAAAGAAGGGTCATGACGGTGCCATATTCCTGGGATGTACCGACTACCGGATATGCTGGCTATCAATCCGTACCGAAGGACGCCCAGGAGATCACGATTCGCCCTATCCAAGGAAAGATATATGAGGATCACGTCCAAGAGTCCGAATAGGGCACGACTTATGTAACTTGTAGGGCAAGTAGGCCTCAGATATAAATAGCTAGCACCTCCACCTGTTGTATCTATCGAAACTCTTATAAGCATAGCCCTATTGTAATCTGTCATCTCGCCATCCCGATCAGTTCATAATACAAACAAGTAAAACTGTAGACATAGGGGCTTCCCGAGGGCCCTGAACCAGGATAAATCATTGTCTCCCTACTATGTTGCTCTTCGCACCAAGTGAATTCCGCCAAGGACCGAATATCTGCTGGTAAAAAACACCGACATAGGCGCGCGGGGGATTTCGTGCAGAAGAGTGATCATGCCGATCATGAACGGAGTTTGGTTTGCCGATCCGGCGCATTCTGACGCCGAGGCACTGCCAACATCATTCAAAGCTGAGCGCCTAGGAGATTTCAACTCTGGGCCTCAAATCTATTCACTATCCCGCAGCATGCCGCCGACTATCTATTTTGGTAGCCTGGTATTCGAGCATGATGGCGATTTCCATCTTAAGTTGACCGGGATTGACGACCCTGATCTAACTCGCGCTGGTCGCGAGCTCTTCACCCTTCACGGTCACCCAACCGAGGAGGAGATGCAAGACAAAGACCAACAAGTCGATCTAGACACCATTGACTACGAGGACTCCAGCGATGAGATAAACCCTTTCGAAAGTCGCCGGATCTACATGGCTAGTCGCGATCGGACTCCACCGCTAGATGAGGCCGGGTCTTCAGCTACCCATCTACCTCCATGGTTGAGCAATGCGCCAACTATCAATACGGCGGCGCCGCAGCAAGCTGCACCATCCGTCCTGACTCCGAGGAATCTGAGTTCTGACTTCCAAGTGGTTCAGGACGAGAATGTCCAACTTAAGACGCTTCTAAGTTCTAACTACTATGGGGGCATTGGCTGAGGATGGCTCACCGTTGGCCAAGGTCATCGAGCAGGCTCACGAGCTTGCCGACAAGAGCAGGCTCATCGAGCAGGCTCACGAGCTGGCCAAAGTAGGGAAAATATTCTTTATTCCTGAGCATCTAAAACTATAATACAGAGCTCTCTCGAACACACATAAGTGCGGACAAAGGCCTAATAAGGGTGACACGGTGCTGATAGAAACATGGCCAAAGCAAAAACAGCATCCATCCATCAATCGAACACCGACAAATCATGGCAGGATCTGATTCCATTCCCTTACACTAGGTGAGTGGTGGCAGGCAGGGTCGGTCCCCATGGCACTAACAGAGATGCCTGTACATCTTTGCTTAGGCCATGTTTAGTTACCTAAAATTTCAGAATTTGGCACTATGCAAAAAGAAGATTCATCGTCACATCAAATTTGCGATACATGCATGGAGTATTATATGTTGACGAAATTAAAACTAATTGCACAGTTTAGTTGTACTTCACGAGACTAACGTTTTGAGCCTAATTAGTTAACGATTGGACAATTATTACCAAATAAAACAAACGCTACAGTGGCTATAGTGGCGCGAATCGGCGGCGCCGATTCGGTGGCCGAACTAAACGCGGCCTTATTTTCGAAGCAACCCAAAGACACCAACAAGTACATCCTCCTCCTCTGTTTCTCCCCAGGTGTTACAGTTACAGTAAGCGATTTCTTTCTTTCGTTGTATGCAGCTAGCTGTGCTTGTTTAGTTGTTTGTCGCATCGATTTCAATGCTCTGGCCACAGATTATTGCCTTTGTTATATAAGGAGTGCAAATTGGGAGGGACTAGCTAGCTGATATCTAATTTCTGTGATTTGCTTCCTAGCTCGGATTGGGAGATTTATTTTATAACGTTGAGTTAATGAAATTTTGGTTTAATTTCATGTACTACAAACTACTCCAGGCCTTGAGTTGTAGCTAGGATCTACCTTGTTCAGTTTCTTCTTCCAGATCGACTCGACTCTCACGTCCCTCTTCCTTTCGATCTATTCTTTCTAGCTTGTTGGCTGCTATCTGTCACATGTTGCTGCATCGAGGAATTTGATTCACTGTCACAAACTAGCTGCTATTGCTAGCTACTCTCAGCAGGCCCGATCCGGCCGGGCCGAGCTGCACCAACGTCGTTTTTCAGGAATTTGTTTCACCGTCATACCCGATAGGCAGGCACCGATCCAGATCTTGCACCAACGTCGTTTTTCAGCAAACACAGGTGAGCTCAACTCCAACCCAGCTGCAACTTATGAGTCTTCCAAATCTCAACAAGCTTCGCTTTCTAGCCACTCAAATACCATGGTTTTCTACAGAACAGTTCAAGAGGTGGCGATGTGGGATTCTTGGTGAGCGCGTGCGCATCCACGTTTCTGTCCTAAACACACGAGCTACTGGAGTGACGTGCTACTATTAGCTGAAGCTTTGGCTGAGCCATGGCGGCAGCTGCCGTCGTGAGCGTCTCCTTGGGTGTGATGAAGGAAGCCTGTCCTAGCCAAGCTCACCACCCTCATGGGCGACGAGTACAAGAAGATCAAGGGGCTGCGGAAGAAGGTGGCCTTCCTCCAGCATGAGCTCAGCGACATGGACACTCTCCTTGAGAAGATGGACAATGCCGATGAACTAGATGACCCACAAGCCCAGAATTGGAGAAAAGATATAACTGAGATGTCCTACGACATCGAAGACTGCATTGATGACTTCATGCACCGTGTTGGTGAAGCCGATGATAAGATGGGACTCCTTAAGAAAGCTTTTCAGTATCTAAAAACTTTCAAGGATCGTGATCACCTAGCAAATCAGTTTCAAGAGATGCAGACCCTGAGTGATGGAAGCAAGTGAACGCCGGAAAAGGTACATGCTTGATCAATGCATCTCAATGACCGCCACCCCTGTAGTTGTTGATCCTCGACTCACAGCACTCTATAAGGAGTCAGCAAGTCTTGTGGGATTTGTTGCCCAAAAGAATGAGCTTGTCAATTGGGCAGTGGACAACGACAAACAATTGAAGGTGATGGCAATAGTAGGTCATGGTGGTTTAGGAAAGACCACACTTGCCAATGAGGTGTATCACGAAGTTGAGAGGAGTATAATTGCAAGTCATTTATATCAGTCTCTCAAAGGCCAGAAATGATAGAGCTATTGAGCAGGTTGCTATCACAACTTGGACTAAGCACAAATTCTCATGGTTGTCAGGCGCGAGATCTTATCAACAACGTTCGAGAACATCTACAGGATAAGAGGTACTCATCTTTATTATTTTGTTTAACATTGAAGGATTAAAATTTCTAGCTGCTTGAACTTTAACATGTAAGTTTCATATTTATTGTTTGACCAAATCTATTTGTAAGGTTTAGTTTTCAACTCACTCTGTTTCAAACTATAAGTTGTCCTACTCCACGCATATATGTGGGGCGCAAATTTTTTCAATAGGGGGTGGCAGCATTGCGACAATGGCGCCTGGAGTAGAGTAGAGAGAAGGAAGATCAGAGGGGAAGGAGAGGAGGAAGAAAAGGGGAAAGGGTAGGTGGGATTTACATGTGGGCCCTAGCTATTAGATACATGTAAGCGTTTTTTTGACTGAAGTCAGTAGGGGAAACCCCCAACCTATTTTTTTGTTTTTTCAGACCTTATTAATTCGGTCCCACGGAGAGTCGAACACATGTCTGTTGGATGTTACTCAGGTGCTCTAACCCCTAGGCTAGAGGCCATTTGGCGATACATGTAAGCGTTGAATTGGCATGGCACGAAGGATAGCGGATCTGGTAAATGCCCGTTTGGACCATGACGAAACTAGTTACAACTTTAGGGGGGGCAAAATGCTTTTTGAGACTCTAGGGACCTAGACGACACCTCTAGATAACATCGAGGATTGCTGGTGAATTTTACTCTAGTTTTGTTACATCATATAGCGATAGCACTATATGGTGAGCAGGCTTGTAGAGAAACAAAATAATATAGACATGCCCCTATAGAATATATCATATCCTGCCTAAAGTCTGCTGCTAAACTTTCACTTAGTATAGGAGAAAAAATCTTCGTGACAACATCACCCTTTAGAAAATATATATAGTATGTCGTGCTGTGTGGAAGGGTTTGCTTATAAAGCAAATTATTTCCTTGGCCCTAAAAAAAGTACCTCTTAGTTTCTTGGCCTTTTTTTCTTGAACTTGCTTAGTTGGCCCTAAAAACGAAATTCCTTTGGTTTCTTGGCCCTTCCGTTAGTTTGAGACGATAACGGCGTTAAGTTGTCTGTGAAATTACTATGTTACCCCTAGTGCCGAATGCACATTAAAGAAAGCAATACTTTTCTGTGTCATGTTGTTGCATCCCACAAAGGTCTGTTTTTTTTTTTTTTTTTGAATTACACAATGATAGAACACTATTAAATGATATTTCGCATGCATGTTTTTGTATGGCTAACTCATGATGGTTGTGTGGATTATGTTTGCAGGTACCTTATTGTAGTTGATGATTTGTGGGATGTGTCATCATGGGATACCATTAAATGTATTTTCCAGAAAATGGTAAACAAAGCAGAGTCATAGTAACAACAAGACATCAAGATGTGGCCATGTCGTCATGTTCAAGTGGCAAGGGAGATGTTCATAACATGAAGCCGCTCAGTGAAGAAGAAGACTCAAGAAAATTGTTCAATAATAGAATATTCGGTCCAGAAGGTGTCTGCCCTCCTCAGTTCCTTGATGTGTCATCTGAAATCTTAAAGAAGTGTGTTGCAATTATTACAGTGGCAAGTATTTTGGCTTGCCAGCCTACAAGACTAAAGGATGAATGGGAGCAAATACAGGACTGTTTATTAACCTCCCAAGCACCAACAAACTCCACTCTAACAGATATGATGCATATCTTAGACCTCAGCTATAAGTTTCTGCCTCTTTATCTAAAGGCATGCTTTCTTTATCTTGGTAGTTACCCAGAGGATCATGAGATTGAGAAGGATGAACTGGTTAGAAAATTGGTAGCAGAGGGTTTTGTGAGTGGCCAAGTCAGGCGAAGCGCATGGGATGTTGCAGAGAGCATGATTCAGCTTGCTTATAGAGACTATGCTTTTTTTAAGAAGCCATACTACAAGGTGCATGATATGATGCTTGACTTGATTCTAAAGAGGTGCATGGAAAATAACTTCATCAAGGCCTTGTTTAGATGATGATTGGGAATCAGTATTTGGCACTGTAGCACTTTCGTTTGTATTTGATAATTATTGTCCAATTATGGCCTAACTAGGCTCAAAAGATTTGTCTCGTAATTTACAATCAAACTGTGTAATTAGTTATTTTTTTAATCTACATTTAATACTTCATGCATGTGTCCAAAGATTTGATGTGATGGAGAGAGAGTGAAAAAACTTAGAATCTAAACAAGGCCCAAGTTGGTACATGATCCGCAAGCCAAGGCCTTGTTTAGATTGCAAAATTTTGCAATCTGGATACTGTAGCACGTTTCGTTTGTATTTGACAAACTTTGTCTGATCATGGACTAACTAGGCTTAAAAGATTCGTCTCGTGATTTACAACCAAACTGTGTAATTAGTTATTTTTTTACCTACATTTAATGCTCCATGCTTGCGTCCAAAAATTAATATAATAAAGAGAAAGTGAAAAACCTTAGAATTTTGAGGCAATCTAAACAAGACCCAAAACTGCAAGTCAAGGTCCGTCGACTCACCGTCCACACAGCAGCTGATGTGACCATTAGTAGGCAGCTATCACAAGTTCGCTCCAAATTCTAAGTTTTTTCATTCTCTTTCCATCACATTAATTTTTAGACGTATGTATGGAGCATTAAATGTAGGTAAAAAATAACTAATTACACATTTGGTTATAAATCACGAGATGGATCTTTGAGCCTGGTTAGTTCATGATCGAACAAAGTTTGTTAAATATAAACGAAACGTGCTACAGTATCTAGGTTGTAAAAATTTGCAATCTAAATAAGGCCTCTGTCTCTTTAGAGCAAACTGTGTGCCTTCTTTGTCAGAGTTGATGTTTCTCAGGGTATTATTTTTACATGGATTTCCTAGGCACCTAGAGAGGATCAACCTTACATGTGTCACCCAGCTGTCGCAACTGCGTTACTTGAAGGTTGCACGTGAGGCATGGTATTTTAACAAACCGGAATGCCACGTAGTGCTACCTAATCAGGTTCGGAGCGTGCATCGTTTGGAGACGCTGGAAATTGATTACCTTGATGTTTTGAGCATTCCACCAGATATCGTCGATTTGTCATGCTTGTCCCATTTGTTTGTAGGGGATTTGAAGATGTTGCCGCATGGGATTGGCAAGGTGAAGACGTTGCGCACTCTGAGCTGGTTTAGGCTGCCGGCAGATTCGTCAGGTATTGTTACTGAGAGCCTCGGCGAGCTCGCCAATCTGGCAGAGCTGTCTCTAAGCTGTCGTGTGGAGGGACCAACCAGGGGATGTTTACCGATGACGACGGCATGGATGGCCTCGGTCCCTAAATAAATAAATAAATTTCTAAAATTATCTTAAGTCAAATCTTTTAAACTTTGATCGAATTGCTAGAAAAAAAAATGTTATGACTGCTTATGGTATTAAATTATTATCATTAGATTTATCATAAAATATATTTTTATAAGGTGTTTATTTTATATTATAGATATTGTTACTTTTTTCTATAAAGTATGAGTCAAATTTAAAAATTTGACCGCACGGATTTTAGTAATTGATTTATTTGAGGACAAAGAGAGTACCTGTGAATGAAAAGAAAGGAAGAAAAAATAAATTACAATCGAGCTGTACCACACAATACTTACACTATAGTAATTTTCAGTCGCAAAAAAAAACACTATAGAAATTCTAAAAAAAAACACTATAGCACTATTGAAGGAGGTGAGAATCTAGACACCAAAAAGCCGGGTCGTTTAATAACGAATAACCTTCATGCATCCCCGTCTACATACAGCTGGTACGGTGCACACTAAAATACTCTGACATTGTATATATAGACCTACTTTTGCTAATGGGCCGCTACACTTTCACTACGTACTTGTGAACAATTTAAACTAGTACGGCGGATACAAAATGAAGGTACGCATGCACACTACGCGCTGTGCTTTATTGATCTATGCATACCTTTATCTAACCCTCGGATCATCGAGCATTTGATGCTGATTAAATTATATTTATTGAGTTGGTGACCATGTGGAGACGCCTTCTAAAAATTAGTTGATGTTAGGGAGTGTATATTGGCCGGGATGATTCGATCTTAGCCTTCTAAAAATTATACGTGGCCTGCCAACTCCTTGTTCTCAGATCTCGCACCTCGTTTGCCTTTCTTTGCCTAGATGAAGTGTGGCGCTAGCTATTTGGCGGTTTGCTGAACAGGCAGCCTAGCTACTAGCGGCTTTTGCCGCGGTGAGGTTCAGTCTTCAGAGTGGTGCATGCAGTGGAAGACCTCCGGTCCACGCCATCGTTGATCTGCTTTGCTGGTCATTGACATCCGATCCCGGCCTATCCACTGCTCCCTCCGTTCTAAAATATTTGTCATTTTTTTCTTGAGAAATAATTTTAATAAAATATATATTAGAAAAATATTATATTTATAATATATAATTAATATCATTGAAAAGATCTTTGAATCTAGTTTTTAACAAATTTATTTAGAAATATAAATATTGCACATATTTTGTACAAACCAAGTTAAACTTGAGGTATGAAACCAAAAGTGATAGATAATTTGGAACAGATGAAGTACGTTGGTGCTCGAGCTTAGCCTGCTGCGCATGGTTGGTCATGGAGAGTGCATTTGCCTGATGAGTCTCGAGGAGAATAAGCTAGCTGGCTGCAGTGCATATGGAGTCGTACGTACTTTTTTCCCTCTTGTATGTATGTACGTAGAGGTAGAGCTTCCTCCACTGTGTCGTTGTTGCTGGACATGAAGGACCTCTTGGAAAGGGCGAGCAGCTGCTCGTGGTATTGTCCTCACCTGAGTCATACTAGCTTGAGGCATGGGCGGACCCAACACTAGGGCAGCTAGGGCCGCTGCCCTAGTCGTGGCCCAAATAAGCGACAAGGGAACAAGCGACAAGGGTGACGGACCGGATGTCGGACTGGGCCTAGGGGAAGGCAAGAGCTGGTTTGGGTGGAGAAAAAAGAAGCGAGGTGGACTGGACTGGGCCCGTGCGGCTGGGCCGAACAGGAGGAAGGGAAGAGTGAGCCGGTGCGGTGGAAGAAGGAAGGAGGAGGTGGGAAGGGCCGGATGAGGCCTGCTGGCCTATTTTCTTTTTTAAAAAATGGTATTCTTTTATATATATTACATAAAACACATAATGTTACCATGTTCATTAAGTGAGTGAATGTTGCCTTGGAATAAAAAAGAGATTAGAAATTGCAATCTTCGTATCTTTTGACATGGAACGTAAGTCTGCCTTAGCACTCGTCAGCTTGTTGTGGCTGACTATATATAGCCCGTTGCAACCAATCTAGTTTGTGACGTTTACGTGAGCTACCAAGTCATTATTGCGTCAATATTTATGATGTTTTTATCTGTGTGGCATTTACCTATGTGGCACGGTCTAAGAGTATAAGATAAGATGAAAAAAGAATGTCATAAGTCCTTGTGATGTAAAAAAGTAATGTTATAGGTTTATAACGGAACACCCATAAACACCACAAAACATGGTTAGAGACGCACGGTAGGTACTCATTTTTGTTGCGCTAATGTCACAAACTTGAGCTGTGACATAAATTATTTGTATTTTTTTTACAAGAAAATTATATGTATTTTGACATAAACGAAACATCACATAAGGTAACATGTGTTGTACTATCAATAGAATCTTACTATCACATATAATTAATTTATTATTGACACAAAGATTCTAGAGCTTGCAGGAACATGGATCAATATGACTTTTGAGAGAAAAGAAAGGTAATCATTTTTAATTAGCTGTATATACTAAATTTATCGACTAAGTTTTTTTTTTGCGAAACATTTATCGACTAAGCTTTAAATACTTATATAATGTACGATTGGAGACCGTGGGTACCGCCACTACCGGACTCAGGTTAGGCACTCGGCAAAGCCCATATTGCACTCGGCAAAGGAATGGCTCACGGCGAACCAGCTATTGGCAAAGGGCTCTTTGCCGAGTGCCATTTGTCGGGCACTCGGCAAAGACTTTACCGAAGTGCTAACACGGCACTTATTAAAGAAAGTCGCCGATTTGGCGAGTTTGCCGAGAACCACAATCAAGGCACTTTCGGCAAAGCTCGGAGCTTTGCCGAGTGTCATGGACATGACACTTTCGGCAATGCTCCGTGCTTTGCCGAAAGTCTTGAGTCGAGGCACTTTCGGCAAAGCCGACACTTGGCAAAGCTTTTGCACTCGGCAAAGGTGGTTCCTAGGTGCTCTGATTAGGCCACTTTGCCGAGTGTGTTGGCCATGGCACTCGGCAAAGGGTGCTTTTGCCGAGTGCAAAACTCGGCAAAGTGACCAAAAATAAATTTTTTTATTTGTTTTTTACGTTCCATCCAAACAAACAAAAGATTTATATCACATTCATCACATATATCACAAATATAAATCACATTCATCACATATATCACTAATATGTATCACAAACACTAATCCATCACAACCACAAGTCCATCACAAGCACAAGTGCATCACAGTTGTGCAAAATAAACCACAAGCGCATCACAACCAACTATAAGTACATCACGGCGACTGTCGGGGTTGATGAGGCCCAGCATGCGATCCCGGCGACTCTCCAAGGTGATGAGGTACCTCATTCGATGCCGCCGATTGACGCTGCACAAAGGAGAAGAGATTGCATATGTGAGAAGATAAATATATACCAAACATGACTAAAACATTCATACTCCACTAGGTTGCTAGTATTGTTGTGGTTTGACCCTAAAGATGAGCATAAAAACTAAATTATTCATACTCATACTCACAGGAGTAGATGCAGGAGGAGTCGGAGCTGGAGCGAATAGCCCAGGTGGCACAGGTACACCCGTATGGGCCCCAAGAGTTTGCATGTATGTCAGAATCTCCACCATCCTCCGCTGCTCGGCCTCTCGCTCGGCCGCCATAGCTTCCATCCTCTGCCGATCGGCCTCCCGCTCGGCCGCCATAGCCTCCACCTGGGCCTGCAATATTTCACCCTAATGTTTCAATAATGCAAAGCTAAGGTATGTAAGAGTCAATAAACGATGAATAAAACAGGAGTAACCTAGAGTGCCGCCATCCGGTGCTGTGTAGTGTCCGACCATGGGCGTATGGCCGAGCTCGCGCTAGTGCTCCTTGCTTGAATCTATGAGAGAGTGGGAGTACTGGCGGTGTCGAGTGCACCGTCGCTAAGCCAGAACCGCCCATGCTTCTTGCCTCCTCCCACCCTCGTGACGATCTCTCCATCAAGGTCCTAGGTGCTCGGATCGTACTCTGGCCCATGGACCTCCCTTGCCGCGGACGTGTACTCGCTGAGGGGGCTGTGGACGGTGGCGTTGTTGTGCGCCTCGGGCGGGTCCTCCAGGTTGTAGTCGACGTCGGATGTCGCCTTGCCCTTATGGGCCAAAGCGTATGCCTTGAACTAGGAGCAAGGCTGGCCATCATGTGACGACGACTGTGAGAAAAAACATAAAGATGATTAGAAATCATGCAGAATTGAACGTTAGAATAAATAAATGAATTCGCGTACCCAGGTTTCTGCGTATCCACTTAGGCTGCGGCTGCCTTGATGGTGCGCTACACCTGGCATCAACAAATGGTGCTCTTGGCAAGCGTTGTGTGTCTCCAACCACTGGGGGGAGCACCACCTATCCACCATATGTTCCCAGCACTCGGGATGCGCAGCGCACCAATAAGAAATCATCTCTAGGCCATCAAGTATATGAGATTTAAGAAGATGAAATTAAGCCTATTTAATCTCAAACGAAGTCAGTAATAATTAATGTTCTGTATTTACCTGCAGGTACTGTTTTGGCTCCAGCGTCATGGTTCTTGCGTCAGCTTTGCTGACCTTCATGCCAAGGATGGTCCCGTGGTAGTTTATGATGGCTTGGATGCGCGCCTCGTAATGCATGTCCACGACGAGTTTCTTGCAGCATCTGGTAGCCAGCAAATCCGCCTTAGCCTCAAATCCCTCCTGGCATCTGAAGAAATCCTGCATATAGACGTGATGGATACTTTCATTATTTCAAGAAAGTCCAATGAATACGATGTATTGAGCAATGTAGTGAGACGAAGACTTACCCATAGCTTGCCCTTCACCCGCGCTACCTTGTTGGCGAATTCCCTGCTAGCCAGATCTGTAGCATCGGGGGCGGCGGTGTAGTGGTCAAACGAGTA